CTAGCTATAAAAACTACCAATTTCAATTTTCCTCTCAATTACGTCTGAATCTATGGTATCATTTTGACATCCTGAATTCAAATATTTTTATATTTAGATTTTTAAGTCTAAATTATAGCCTTTGGTGTCATGGGGATTTAAATTCGTTGAATAAAAATATGTTGTTATTTTGCATACGAAAATTATAACAAAATTAAAATTTTTTATACAGACATACAACGTTTTTATTTAAATAATAATATAAATTGAATCCCCATAAGGTTTGTATAAAAGAGACCATAAGGTCTCTTCAACTGAATTCAAAAAATCATTTATAAGTAATAAGTTTTTTCTTCTGCCTTAACGAAAATACCAATGAAAAAGAAAAAAAATCTGTACAAGTAATCAAAAATAAGTAATTTACAACCAAACTATCAGAAAATGTTCCCATTTTACACTAAAAACCTTAACTTAATTATTCAGAATCAAACAAATTACTTGAGACTCTATATAAGGTAATTAAAGTTTTCTATAGAATGAAAGTTTAATAATTACTATGTACTGCTGGGTATTATTCTTTATTATGCCTGAAATGCACATTTTTCTTAATAGCAACACATCTGTTTATTGTCAATCTTATGACAGATGTGGGTGAAAATATGAAGAAAAAAATAAAATAAAAAAATTACTTGATTAAAATATATTTCTTTGCCCATCTCTTTGGCTCACCTACCTGGAAAAAAAAAATATTCAAAAGAACAGCCCCAATAAATTTATAGAAAATATGATTATAAAAGAAAACAAATCTATGGATATATCTATTTATTTTCTTCATTAGTCCTAAAGGAGATGTTTTTTTATCTGAGGTATATTAATAAAATTTAATAACAGCATTTACCCTCCCTACAATTTTTCTTTATTGTTATGACGTTTCGGGATCACTTTCTCATACCATCTTCAGACAGTATCTCATTTTTTTATCATCTTTTTTGTTTAAAGATTTGTCTTATTTTTTTTTTTTTTTTTATATTTTCATAATTCATCTCTTAATTATACTGTGGAGTCCTCTAGGGAGAGTCTTGTCAGAATTATGAAAATATAAAAATAAAAAAAAAATATGATAAATCTTTAAAAAAATAAGATGATAGATGGATGAGATACTGTCTGAAGATCGGCTAAAAAAGTGATCCCGAAACATCATAAAAATAAAGAAAAATTCTTGGGAGAGTAAATGCTGTTATTAATATATCTACTTTTAGTATTTTTTCGCGATAAAAGCCAGAAAGACCATTTTTAAAATTATATTTTAGCTTTCTTTTTAATTCAACTTTCTTCATTTTTTCTCTTATTTCCTTTTTTCGTTCTTCTGTCCATTTCCTTATTTTCTTTTTCCTCTTTTCTAATCCAAGGAAATTAACCTTATTCACTGTTCCTCTGAATATATCCTTATCAAGGTATTCATATACTTTTATCTTTTTTTATAATGTCTTAATATTTTTCATGCTATCTTTACTCTTTCTCTTCATGTGGCCAATGAATTTCAGTCTCCTTTTTCTGATTGATATTTCTAGAGTTAGATCTTCGATTTGACTATTTATTTATTATAAAATAGTAAGTTTCTGTACATTCATAAAAGATATTTTGTTATAAACACTAGTATTGAATTTTATAATTGTAAATCAGAATTGGTCCCTGATGCATCCTTTGTTTTTGGAGTATTAGATTTACTTGATGATATATTTCTTTAATCATTAAATAATACTATAAATAGTGGTCTGATTATGTTTATCATGATTACAGATAAATTTCCTTTGGTAAGATAGTAATTAAATCAGAATAGATTGTATTTAAATTCTAGCGGCTAAAATGTATATGGAAATTAAATAACTATATTACTTTTTAAAAATCATATTAACGGCATCTGATGGAGTTTTTGAATATGCTGTTTAAAATTTGTCAATATAACACAAAAATATGGACTTTTTTTTTCTTCAATTATAAAAAAATTGTTATATTCTAAATTTATATAAATATTATGGTTATAGTTCTTATTTTTAAGCTATTCGTTCATGAAATTAGTTAAGTTACTTAATGTTTGAATGTTATTGTTAAAAGTTTTCGATTTAGCAATGGTCGAAAATACCTGAAGTGATTGCAGAGCCCTAAATAGTTGGATTGATTAATTTAACATAGTTTGAAAAATTATTATTGTGATATTGAGAACTAATATTTATTTAAAGAAGGCATCAAAATCTGATAATTACGGTTCAAAAATTATTGCGCTATATAATGTGTCAGACCAAGACACTCTCTTAACGAAAAAAAAATAGTGAGCTTTAATTGACATAATCTGTCCAATCAATGTTTTAGTTCTGTATTAAGATGTTTAGTTCGCGTGTGGAAAGCCTAACGCTATGTTTTCACCTCTTATCTCGGGTTTCACAAGTGATTAGTAACACTTACAAACTATAGGGAACATGAGACTGATATTATATATCTGACCATACATAAAAACATCTGATGATGATAATAATTAATCATTTTTATAGGAAGGGAAAATATATGCCAAGAATAGACTACTAACTCAAAATTTAAAATTTTCTTCAATGACTTTTTTCTTTAAAAATAAAACTGAAGTGAATATATATTTTTATTTATTATATAATGATCTTGTATATTAAATACTGGTTACTTGAATTAGTTGATTTCATTATATCATTAATATTATTTGAAATCGTAAAAATTTTCAAAATTAATCCTAAAAGAAATACAATATATAAAAATTTAAACATGGATTTAATTGAAAATACTTTTGAAATATATTTAAAATCGTTTCAATAAATGCTTTCCCCTCATTTAAGTACATACATAGTATACATATACTGCTAAAATACATTAAAAAATATTTAATTTCTGGACAAAATGCAAACTTCATTTAACTACACTATCACTCTAACCCTCTCAAATAATCCATAAAATTCAGAAAATTGATAAACCACCTGTTATCTATGCCATATTATTTTATAATCATAATTTGGAAATCATGGTTGCCGTGAAAACTCTTTTCTCTTTTCAGTAGTTTAGCAATTTGAACTTGCATTTCTCATTTTAGTAGTTATCGATAAAATGTCTCACAGCATTCTAGCATCATTCAATAGATGAATCTGTGAAGTTAAATTTATTACAGAGCTAATTACACAATATATATACAAATATTGAGATAATTCTTTAAATTTTATTGTATAAATAATCCTTCATTCTTATTTATTTTTATTTTTATGAGCAATATAGGTACTCATGAGAGCAAGATAGTTGTACAAATAACAATTTAAATTAGAATAATTCTAATATTTTAATTTTGGGGCAAATCACAAAAAAATATCAGCTTAGTAATGTTAAGTTTATCTTTGTCCGATTCATGTAACAAATCTTAAGTATTGAGGGAAAATTACACAATTACTTAAGCATAAGGTATTATTTTAAATACTATTCGATATTCGAATTCTATAAGTGTCCTCAATGTCTTCAAATTTTACTTAAATTAGACTCATAGGTCAAAGTTTTATTATGAAACCTAAATAAATAAAATACATATATAATACATGGTAGATTAACAAATATTGCATACCGCCTCAAAGTATTGATTCTAATGGGAAGGTTATGTTAGGTTTCACATAGACCTCGAATAGGTTTTACAAGAACATTTATTGTTATATCTGCTAATTAGCTCAACTGTTAATATAATTTAGGCAACATGGTCATCATAATAGGTATATTCTGATGTTTCATGACACTCCGAAAATTTACTATATAATGTTATCAGTCTTGGGATAAATAACTGTAACTGAAAATTCATCATAATGCATTTATGTGCTAAAAGTAATGCTGGTCATCTAAAAAATTAAGAGACCAATGTACCAATTGTTTGATTCACAACATACCTATGTATATACTGATTTAATTTATTTTTGGATATACATAAATACATTTGAATGTTTTTAATCATATACACTCATATTACCAAAAATACTATACTAAATTGATTCTAGAGAACTTTGATTGAAAATTAAAATACTATTCTTTTAACTAAGTACGAAGGGAGTTAAAACTTAATCTTGTTTTTATAAAGAAAGTAAGATAAGCCTGGGAGTTTATCAACCTAGGAAGGCCTTTCAAATCACTTAAGTTTTGTACTTAGCTAATGAAATTTAATATGGAATGTGACATGCTTAGAACAAAATATATTTTGATGTGTAGATTTTCTTTGTATAACGTTATTTTATGATCCTTAGAAAAAAAAAATCGTTAGTCAGTATATTGATATTTATATATTAATATAATATAATCTGTAAACTGAAAAAAGATCGAAACATATATATAATATATTTAACCTCAAGAATTATTCTCTTTAAATAATACAGAATAGCTTACGAACAAATGTAATACAGTAAATATAATATTTACTCAGAAGAGTAAAATGTTTTATTATAAATGTACTGATAACATAGTAATTTGTGTAGTAAATGAACAGTATTTGAGTATTTTTTTTTTTTTTTTTTGTATAAAATAGAAATAAAACTAATAATAGAGATCAAATATTTTAATTAGGTCATCGAAAGAAAATTTTAAATGATTAGCATCAAGCTTTGAAAATAAGGATACAAGTTGTCAAGTTTTGCAGATGAAAGCAATGTTTGGAACAAAATGATATTTTTGAATTGAAGTAAGTACACAGCAAATAAATTGTAACATGCTGTAATCCATAAAAAATTGAAAAAAATAAATGAAAATTTCTCTAGAATAAGAATTATTAGAAAAGATCTGAATTTGAGGAATATTGAAGAAGTTTGTATTGACTTCCTTTCGAGAGGCTTGAGGCTGTTGATTTGAAATTTTCCATTAATAATCTAATATTTCTTTCTTTAATTTGATCTTCAAAAATCTTGTCACTCTAAATGGCATTCGGCCACTACACAAAACCATGCACATACTAAATGCCTGTTATCTCAGTCTACAAGCGGATGTTGAAGTCACCGGGACATGCGAACCGACTGAAAGTGAAAACTGGTCATGCAAGGAGTCAGAAGCTTACCTTCCAACTGGACTACACAAGAGGACTACATGCTACCACCGACGGGAGGTTACGAAAAGGAATCGATACAGGTTATGTGGGACAACACCCCTCGCAGACTGAGCAGTTGGCTGTGTTTTTACCTTTTGCCGTAGAGGGAGCTCCGCTGGAGATCTAGGTACCACTGGCCCGGAGCCGGAGTGAGAGAAAATAATAATAAAATACAGAGAGAGAGAGAGAGAAAGAGAGAGATAGTAAGAGAGAGAGGGAGTGAGTGAGGGAGAGAGTGAGAGAGGGAATGAGGGAGAGAGAGACAAGGAGTGGAGGGGATGCGGCGCGCAGGCCTTGCAGTTATGGAGCAGACCATTGGGGAGGAAGGCATCAACTCCCTCCACCGCCCCACCGCCTCCTTATCAATTACCTAGGGCCTTCTCTCAACTTCTTCAAGTTCTGCCTCGGTTATCCGCCTCCGTATCAGGAATCCAGGTCTCTAGGAAAATATATAGATAAACAAAGATATGGCTAAAATTATTGTAAAAAACGCCCTAGAAAGGGTAAGCATTTTGGCAGAAATTATCTTAGAGCTTATCACAGCTTCTCTGTTATCTGCGTTCATATCAGGAATCCAGGTATTGGAAAATGCACGGAGGAAATACGTCGATAAAAAAAACAGCTAAAATTATTGTAAAAACTCCTTAGGAAGGGCAAACACTTTGGTAGCAATTATCTTAGCGGCTTATCTCAAGTTCTTAGAGCTCTGTCTCTGTTAGCCACTTCCGTATCAGGAATCCAGGTACTAGAAAATATATGAGAGAACTAAAATTATAGTAAAAATGGCCCTAGAAAGACCAAAACCGATTGGTAACAAATCGCATTAAAGTTTTATAACTTATTCAGTCATAGGCAACTGTTTTAAAAATCGATGGTATTTTCTCATTCAGTATTTGGAAATAATTAATCTTTTCATATACATGATCCTTTAAATACAGAGAGCTGCTTGTGGGCCAAAGCATAAACATTTTTTCTATTTTACTTATATCCCAGCTTTGACAATGACAATCATTTTTTTCTTTGCCCACAAGTTTCAATTTAGCTGCATGTAGCTAAACGAAAACTTTCTTGATTGATAATTTAAAACATAGCTAAAATGATTTTATTTTATTTTTTATTCATTTTATTTCGTTAGATAAAAATACAACAAGTAAGTTTGGATGGGTAATATGAAACGTACGATTATAATTCTATATTAGGAGGTTCAGAGGCAATTTTCTTTTGCCTTGGAAGATTGTTAGAGTTCAAAGAGGATGCAAGGTTAGAAATAAGAGGGTTTGGAAGGGTCTGAAGTTTATTATGGATTGGACCAAGCCGGACGTGAAACATTAAGGTCATTATGGATGAATATATTTGTGACAAAGTAAGGAGCATTGCAAAGAAAATGAGTATTCATGATTTTTCAGTAACTTATTGAATTAATCGATTTAATGAAAAAAGACCCTTATTGAGAAATTTTCGTAGATAAAAAAGTTGTAGTTTACTATAATACGAAGCCATTTTTAGGTTTTAGACAGATGTTAATAATTTGATAAAAAGAGTTCCATTTTTCACATAGCGTTGCTAACAGAAACTTCAACCTTTCTGCAGTATTCAATATTCTTTCTTATAGTGATTCCTCATTTCTTTTTCTACTCCAAATCTTTGAATTATGATTTTATGTCTTATCATTTATCATCTGAGTACTTTTCTTTCAGTTACCTATTAATGATGCATTCTTTTTCGGAGGAAGAAGACGATGTTTCATAACTATGATAAATTATAATTATCATATCTCAGTACAGTTTAATATCATACTGTAATCATAATTAATCATCTCAGTAATAATGTTTTGTTGATTTTAAAGTAAAAGAAAATGTAAATCAAACGTCTTGATAAAGAACCTCATCCTTGTAAAGAATTCTTCTAACCTTCAAGGACATATTCCACTATCCAATTCTTAATCCTGTTTCTTTTATGCGAGACCTCAGAAGCTTTCTGGTATTTAGCATTCGGTCTAAAATAATTTTTCAAAAACTGATAGAAAATCACTCAAATCTTCAGGAAAACGATTATTACTAAATAATGCCAAGACAAGTAATATCCTAAATATTTCATATAGATGTGAATGAATTTTAGATGAATTTTATTCGTATTTTTGTATTCACCTTGAATTTACTTTTTGTTTTCTACAGATTTTGTAACCATTATCATTTTATATATATATTCCTTTATTTGTGTAGTCTAGTGTTCCCTAAAATTGGACCAACACCGCCTAACTGTTGCAAGACCAAGACTGGTAATAAAATCGGTTTTTCGATAAAAAATAAGACAAAATAGTTACTAATACTTGACAATCTTAGTTACTATATGTTAATAATTGGTATTCTGGGATATACTTTTACATTTAACTTTACTAATTTTTCATTTGGCTTAGTTAGGTTTCTCCTATCTAAAAAATTACTAAAAAATTAGTATATCTTTATAATAATAAGTTGATAAGTAACTGCAAGACTGTTGTGAGACTCTTGCGCATGACCAAGAAAATGGCCAAGACCCGCCGGGGTCTCGCATTTGGGCAGCACTTGTTTGTCATATAGTATTTTCTTCTACTACTATGCTGTCATTATTACTAATTATTATTATTATTTTATTTATTTGTTTGTTCACTGTTCACTTAATTTTCTTTCTTCTTAATTACATTTATTTATCATGTATGTATTTATTGTATGAATGGGTACCTTTAACCCCAATACTTATTGCTCTTGTATGAGGCTGATTGTATTATCATTCAATTAAAATAAAATAAATATAATAAACAAATTAAATGTCAGAATTATCTAAATTAATTTGAAGTTTTTTTAACAGCAATGTCCGATTATTTTGTGAGTTCAAAGTTGTGTTTAGAAATATATTCAGGCTCACACTTTTTTCTTTTCGGGATTCTGAATTTGATTTTCGTCTGAAAACATGTTTGGAACCTTGTTTATAACTATGGTAATTTTGCAGACATCAAATAAAAATAATAAGTAAAATTATGATAATGAAGTCATTCATATTTTTGTCTATTGTCATCTAAGAAGTGAGGAAAGTGGTTAAAGAAATTCATGAATATATAAATAAAAATAGACTTACGCTTTATTGACCTATTCCTCTGTTACTTGCTAAAGAAATTTCAATTTTGAAAACTTAGTCCTATTAAAATATTAATTTAAAAAACGGCCACAAGTCATATTCGGCGATATTTGAAGTTAATCTCACAATAGGAACAGAGTGAAAAAATATAACACCGACAGATTTAAACATAGTAATCTTAGAAATGTACGGCAAAAAATTTGGGAATCATCTTGTACTATTAGTTATATTTATAACTATTTATAACTAATTTTTGAAGATGATGCAATATCACAAAAGAATATAAATCACAGTAAAACGGCAATGACCCTTGAGGGTAGAGGCGTGAAAGAGAGAAAAAAAAACTAATATATTAATTATAAAAATCCGTAAATATTGTTGCAGATAAGAATCGACTTCAGCTATCCGTCCTGCTTTAAATCGTTGAACACACCAAACCCCTAAGTGAGAACTGTTACCTGAACAAAGTAACCGAATTTTTAAAAAAAGGTGGGACTTCACAATAATATCTAAAACTCTATCAAGTTGACGAGAAATTCCAACAAAACGGGCGATGATAACCATAGAAGTTTTGCCATTTAAACCAAAATAAAAAAAAAATCGTAGCAATGGATTTAACGTAGTGAGTGAAAATCGGTGTAGTTTACATTGATAATAAATAACTGCAGCCTTGTTTAAAATAATAAAATAAGTTTGTATAATTTATTGCACTAAAAAAATACAAATAAAGGCGTTATTGTTTTTATTATGTTTTATTTTTTTCAATATAGTTATTAACTATTAAATTTGTTAAATGCAAAATAAATTTTGCTACCAATATTCTTACATAATCATGAATATAAGTAATAACTTATAGTTTTCAAAATTGAAGTAAACTAGACTGAATAGAGACGATTTTTTAATTCTCGGTAGAATTAAAATTTTTATTGAATAGTAAGTGGTGTTGCTTAAATTTTATTTAGTTAGTTTATACTCATCATATATATTTATAACTTGTCGTTACTATTTTTTTAAACGGTTTAATACGACTTTTACTTTTAATAAATTGGATAAAGGTAGACGATATGAAATGGAAAAAAGCCTCAATGAATCAATTGACGCGTATCCCAAGAGAATGCAATGCGCAGGAAGCTGTGCTCGATGAAGTTGAACTGAACAAAAATTTAAGCAGGCCTAGATAAAAAAAATTTATAGAGACCGAGGAAAAAGTTATTTTATTTCTTTTAAAACATTGAAATTTATACTCACATTTGAAAGCATATGATACATTTTCATTTAAGTAACTTTTGAAATTTTAAAATCTTTATGAAAACTTCTGAAAGGGCAAACATGATTTATTTAGTGAAGGCTACATACCGTTTCAGACAAGTTTATAAATATAACATATCTGCTATTGTGCAAATTTCCATGTAATTAATTATAATGTGTATATATTTCGTTTATGTATTCTTTATTTATTGGATACTTCTATTCAAATGTATTCTATGATGATAGATTAAATATATTGATTTTTATAAAATATTAGATAAGTTTTAATTCATTGTTTTTAGAAAATCTTCAGACTATTTTTTAAATATTTTTTTCTCTTCTCAATACTGTCAAGTAATGTATGAGAAGCCAACAACCCGATATAGAAACATCTTCCTAATCTAAAACTATTTGCTGTACTGATGTCATTTCCAATGGAATGTATTAATCAGCCTAGTTTAAGAGTTGCCTAAAGGACTGAGTTTTAACAAGGACATTCAGCTAATTAATTGATTGAAAATGGCAAACGTTTGTTACATTTTAGGATAGTACAAGGTATATGCATACATAAAAAAGAATATATTTGTCAACTCAGAGAAAATTTTACAAATGAGTTAAATACCGTTTCGATTATTAAATTTATTGTTAATGTGTTTTAGAAAGTGATTTTATATTGTTCTTAATTTAAATTGATTCCATTTACTTATTTATTCATTTTTATATCAATTGTTTAATTTTTTTCTGAAACTACATTATTTTCTCTTA